CACAAAACGCATAAAAATGGAAAGCTTTTTGGAACTAAGCTAGAATTACCAATACCATCTGGAAAGTCGATATGTGGATCCAACAACCACACGGAAATGAGAATCATATGAAAAAGCTTCGTCAAAAACGAGCAAGAGGAAAAGGCAATAAGATCTTTGAAAAAGTGAAGTCTTATTAGACGTGGTCGATAGTATTGAAATGGGTGTGAGGGAGGAACTAACTTGTTCCAGTTGCTGCAAAGTTGGGGCACTAAGTGACATACGTCGACGGCGCAGATCAAATGATGGTGCTGCTGACGCCGAAACAGCTGTTAAAAAGCGACAAGATCCAATGTGTCCCGCCTGACAAACTGAAATAACCACTGAAAGCGTGAATTATTGGATGTAATTATAATAATGTTAGCACCTGTGATAATGGCTACTATTCTTATTGCCACTATTGTTATTACCATTGTCATTGTCAGTATCGCCGTAATTACTAAAATTGCAAACATTTTCCTTACTATTATTACTGACAATATTAATTTAAACATTCGGACAAGGGATTTTTCAGGCTCCAACGAGACGAAGACAGTGGAGAACATAAGCTGGCTGCCCATTATATTTTACATTCATTTGAACCCAAAAAATTTACTGCTTTTCCAAAAATTCAGAATTTCATTACCATAGTTTGTTTTTTATAAAAAAAATTTAGCCTGAATTCAGGTTTGCGAAAATGGTCTGACAGTACGAAATTAAAAGTCGTTTTATGTTAGTTCTTTTAAGAACTCCTGATGACAACACCATTATTGATTCTAGGGAAGAGTTCAAAATCATGATAAAACACAGCTTTAGCAAACTACTGCAGTGAGCATGAGTACTCAGAGTCAGAAGTTAAAGTCGTATTCGCTCACTACGAGAGGCGGAAGCTCTCGGAAAACAGCACAAGTGATAGTAAATGCCAAGAGCACTGGCACGGCAAACGATGTCCCTCCTTCGAAGGCTGCTTAGATCTAACTGATGGTAGGTTTGACTTGGCATATGCAAGTACCAATTTATTATCGAAAAAACTACGAATCGTGAAGAGAATGCTTGTCAAACCGGCAGAGTCGAATCTTGATCTACTATTACTTCCTAGTGCAGAACGCCACTTGGTAAGTGTAAGTAATCGCAGTAAAAAGCAGCACTGCCAAGCTATATCATTTACA